AGGGATGATAGGAGTTACTATAGAGAACTTTCTGGGTGTCTGGCTGATGAGTCTTACCCATATGCTCAGGGTTTAGCTGATCGCCATATTTGGGGTCGGGAAGGAATTTTCCTCCAGGGTAGATTGGCGAGGCCCTGGAGGTTTTTCACCTTCCTCTGTAGCATGGGGTACAGATCAAGATCTGCCTCAGATCTGCAACTAGATGGAGGATTCTCTGCATCTTGGGGTCTTCAAAGTATTTGAAGGCTTCAATATCTGAGATATAGGTGAGAGGATTATTCTAGGAGGGATGGGTGAGATTCTGTGGCCTGCACTGTGCAGGGGGTCAGACTATATGATCATAATGGTCCCTTCTGACTTTCAAGTCTATGAGTCTATAAGTCCCTCTGGTGTAGGTATCTCAGTGCTGTGGTAGACAGTGCCATAGATGACTACACCATAGTAAGCACCAGTACCTATGGCTATATCAGTGCTGATGTGGTGGCTTTGTGGTGCCGGAGAGCAGTGCAGATGGATGTTGCAGTACCATAGGGGTGCCCTGCTGCACCAATGAAGTTTGCTCTGTGCTGCAAGAGATATTGTATGGTATGAGGCAGCATGTTTGAGCCTGTGACCTCAGATCAGGATCTAGGTGCACCGTACTTACAGGGTAGTGCGTCCGATGCCAAAGATGCTGGGGAATCATATGTGCTAAGGTGAGGTACTGTTGAGGCCATCAGTACCGGTTTAGATGCAAAGTACCGTTGTGGAGATGGGCCCGTACGTGGCACCAAAGAAGCATACTTTTTCACGGGTTTCTTTCCTTGGTCAGGCTGAGAGACTTCTACTACCATAGCACCAAGGTTCCCTGTAACTTGCGCGGCTGCATGACCCTTTTCTAAGCCCCACGCAGCAGCCAGCAAGCTCAGCTGATTGGATGAGGAAGGGGGGCAGGCACTCACTTCCTCACGGTGGAGAAGCAGCAGCAGTTCCTAATCTTTTCCCTCCCCAAGAGAGGTACTCTCAGTGCAAGAGGAGACACCACACCATCTGGAAGGAGAGCCCCAACTCTGGGATCATTTATCTCTGATTCAGTTGAATATTCTCCTTCCCTGAGTCTTTCAACCGTCCTCAACAGCACAGGAACAATCTGACCAGAGGTGGGACAGTTCTACAGTGTTCCGGAAAACCACATCTACATACTCTCTACCACCCTTAGCTCCTCCAATTCAGCCACGCTGGCCTCCAAAGTCTGTATGTGGTCTCTGAGGACCAGGAACTCCTTGCACATACATCGCCTGTTCACAGGGAAGGTAATCACATGTGCTATATTGGATGCAATAAATAGGATAATCCCCAGTCTGCTGCTGGGCTTCTGCCTGCATTATCTCCTACAGATAATTAAAATCTTGTTAGGGCATTTATTTAAATCAGATAGTTTAGGTTTTAGTTTAGTTTAAAAGAAGTTTTAAAGAATGCCAAGTGTATCTATCCCTATTCACACTCCCTCTCCAAACTCACTCACAAAACTCCCTGTTAGCCAAGCTCCCTGGTCACTAACTCGTGCGCTTTATATGGCCTTAGCTTTCCTGATAACTAGGGGGTAGGGCTAAGGTTTGATGAATGAAAAAGGGTTAGGTTTCAAAGCCTCATTAAGAAGCTTCCAGCTTCCAACTGCTGGCCTCAGCACACTATCTTCAAACAAATAGCTCAGCATACGGATCTCCTAACAGACACAAACAAGCTCAGCAAACAGTATCTTTCAGGTGACCAGCAAGTACCCCTCAAACACAAACACATATACTACAAACAGCCAGTTACCCCAAGATCCTGTAATTGCTCCTCCTTCAGCTGGAGAACTCCCTCACGAAACTTCCTGTTTGCTGCTCTTGTTCACTAAGGTGACGCTATGAGGATGAGTGCCTCCTTGTCCTGCCAAGTCCTGAGAAGGACCTTGTGGCCCATGAAAACTGGAATACATCTGCTACAGAACCATGAATGGTTCCAGAAGCAGCAGAACAAATGGCTGCTTGTTGCAAACAGGTCCACCTTTGGAAGATGGAGAGGAAAACATCTGCTCTTAGGGTCTACTCATGGTTGACGAATGAGTCGCTAATGTGGTTTACTAGGTTCTTCTGCACCTCTGGCAGATATGAGGCCCATAAGTGGATGCAGTGAGCTATACTAAAGTCCCATGGGCTTCTAGACATAGGGGAGAAGAACACCACCCTTCCTATTTGTTTATACAGAACATCACTGTGGTG